CTGACTGGAATCTCTTGTCCATCAACCGGCAGTTTGCTACTGAACCAACAAAAGTTCCATCGGCTCGCCACGAGATTTGGTCGCATGCCTTGAATGGCGTGTACCAACATTCCGTGACCCCTGAATTCCTCGATATGAGCAGTCCCGCCCGAGGCCGCACTCCCAGGAGTTCCCAACGTCAGATGTCCAGTCACCTTGGTCTGTGGCCAGAATCGGTGAACGACATAGCCATCCGCTTTATCCTTGTTGGTTCCAAAGTAAGTGAATCCTCCATGGGGAGACTTGCCAATCTTGACACCAGATGCATCGTTGGGACGAGACACCGTCAGTAGAATGGAGATGTCGTCTGATAATTTCGCCGTGATCATGTAGTTCTCCGAATGAGTGGCATCCGAGGACGTAGGACGGTATACGACACTGAAGGAATCAGATTTGCAGGATCGTTTGTCCTGTCCCGGCGGTGGCGTCACAAAGTTATTCACGGTGGTGGATCGCCATATCGTCTCCTTAGTCGACGGGTTGTAGAGCTTGAATGTGAACTGAACGGTAGGATACCAAAGTCTATATTATATATGAAGCAAAGGTCAATTCCACGGTATCAAAATGTAAGCACAAGGACGCACCCAGTGCTTGAATGGATAATCTGGCACATCATGAAACGGCCATCATCCAAGATTTGATAAAACGTCTGGGTCTCGGTAGCAAAGCCACCAGCACATGTCCATTCGAGGTCCGTAGGTACCAGAGGAGAGAAAAGCTCCGCTGGGCCGTACGCGGACGAAACTGGGTGGAGGTTCGGCACTGTTGGATCACTGGGACGTCATAACAAGTCATAAACGTATTCAAGGGCATAAATGAGCCATATTTGAAATACGCGCGTTTCGAACGCACCTAAACAGGGAGAACATGGTAGTGGTGGTCCAACCTTGGTCTTAGCAAGCCGCATCAATGTTTTGTTTGCCGCATGCCTATTCACGAACTCGAGCTATAGTTTATCAATTAATTCTAGAGAATTTACAAGAGGTGATTGTATCCACCAAATTGTGTATGACATCATATTGCATGAACCTTTTCTCTAACAAGACGATAATAATTATATAAGTGTTCTGTGGTTTGGATATGCATGAGTGTAGGATGTGAGGAGAGCAGACAGACGTACAGAGAATCAGCTCAAAGGCCCTTGCCAATACGTTCCGATCATCCTCAAATGTGAGCTTCTTCAATGCCTCGTCTTTCGGCCAAAAATACGACTGAAACGCCTCATTCTCCATTTGGGTCCCTTCTCGCTTCACAATCTCCTTGAGTCGGGTGATGTACCAGAAGGTGAGTTTGGTAACACCACCAGTGCTACGTATGGTGATAGCAATGGGCTCGGTACAATCAATCACAGTTCTGGTGACATTGCCCAAAAGACTGCCTGGGACAGGAGCACGGGTGGGCATGGTGACCGGGAACAGCTCGCAGTTGTATCCTGTCTCTTCATATGTTTCTCTGACTGCTGCGATATCGACTGACTCTCCAGCATCCTTGCGTCCCTTTGGAAGCACCCACTCGTCCTTGGCGGGTTGGTGCAAGAGACAAGCAAATATCTGGCCATCTGCTATCTTGAAAAGTACAGATCCCGCCGAGATAACAAATTCACTAGATAGAAGGCTGAGTCGCAGGTCAGGAGCGGCCATCTTTACGTGGGCGGCGACAACACAAGATGGGCGTCGCAAAACCAAACAGTGTCACTTCAGTCGCACATTTGAATGGAGCGATGAACACTTGGATTTCCATAGTTAGTGAGAACAGAAGGGATAATGCCCGCAGCACAAAACACTAGACGTGTCTCAGCAGGAGGAATTGGACCTGTCGCATTATTCCCACCTGGTTTCGTAGTTAGCACGTGAATATAATCCACGATAGAGGTATTGCTATTCCTCCGGTGCTGCTGATTGTTCTGTCTTTCCCTTTGACTGCGGCTTTTTCATTCGACTGCCAGAACCCTGTTCCAAGTCGAGATCCTGGGCTTGCACCAGTTGAGCAACATTGTACTTCCTGAGTTCTTCGTAACGAGGGGCCACTCCTATACCAGCCACAGACTGTCCCAGGTACTAAGGAACAAAGAAATCGAAGCGAGTGAGGCACCCACCTTGAACGCCACCACGAGTATCATCACTTCGGGGCTCGTAAGAGAGACCTTATGGCAAGGGGGAACTTTCTTGGGCAGCTCTTCGATCACCATTGCAGATGATAATTTTGAGTTATTCCTAATCCTTGAGAGTATCTTATACTGAACAACGGAAGAAACTCAGTCAGCATAATCCCACATACGACAAGCATATGATACCAACTGTATATCTCCGTCCATTTTCGCCCTCGCCATCACCAAGCCGTTCCTTTAGAATCTTGTCCCCTAATATGAGCAACTCAGGTAATGCTGCGACACAAGTACCCAGAATTGGCTCCAACCGTTGTACAGCCCTATGAGATGTCAGATATGAGTTCACCGCAAGTCCGGAACGTTGCACCTGGTTCGCGCCACACCTGAGGTTTTCACTTCGTCAAGATATGCCAGAGTGAGTCGTACGGGATCAATTGGGGCCATGCATCCTGCAAACAGGACTATTTACGCCCGAGTCAGCTTTCGGCATGGAATTCACGAAGAAACTCACTGCAGGGGGTATCGGTATAGTGAATTACTATGAATGAGTCAAATACTCGGAAGAATATAAAAGTAACCATGGATTACTGATGCGATGCCTCGACTTCCGAACGCTAGTTAAAGGTTCATTCTTTTCTAAGCGTTCGGCTTGCAATTTCGCGCGCTCCTTCAGGATCTGAGCCTCGATGTCTTCATCTTCATCTTCTTCATCCTCATCGCTAGCGATGCCTCCCGATTTGTCTCGAGCGTCCAGAGAATCAGGTAGAGCAGAATTTATCGGCCATAGCTCGTTAGAAATCTAAGCAAGGATCGGTCGGTGCATACATTATGCACAGTAACCAAGACGAACAGTCTCGAAAACCTCTCGTATCTCCTTTCCAGCTTGGCGTTCCTTGCCCTTGACGCAGGTTATGAACACCCCAGGTCCATGAATCGTGGTGCTTGAGATACGCGTTCCGTCCTGATATATTACATGGTATGAGATTTGGAGGTGAAAAGAGGCAGTAAAACAATGTCGGTCTCATTGAAGTTGAGGTGGTGTTCCAGCGATTGACTAACAGTTTTGTAGCGCTTTCGCGGTCCAGATTGTTTGCTCGAATGCTTCCTCTTGTTATCTGACATGACAGATATCCCGGAAGTCTATGGGAAGACGCGTACTGCGTTAAATTACTGTAAAGCCCAAATGTGGTAAGGAGGCAGTCGTCTTGGTTGGTCATGACCACGTACTTCCGAAACTGGCTCCTTGGGGTTCCGACGCAAGTAGAGCCAGAAATCAAACCCAAACAAGCTTCGGAAGCTCCAGAGATCGAAGTAGTCGAACCGCAGGAAGAGGATGGGAATGATTCAGACGATGGATATGATACAGATAGACCGCCAGCCTTTCCTGCCATAAACTCGCCACAAAGAGCTTCAGGTCCATCTAAGACCGCAAATGTTCAACGGACTGCTGGATTAATGGCACCTCCTCCAGTACCTATAAGGATATCCGGCGCTTCTTCATCGACAGCCGCAACTTCGTCCAATACTCTGGCTCCTTTGACGACCACTAAAGTAGTAAAGAAGTCAAGGAAAGTTGCATTGGCACCGGGTCACTCAACCTTGGACTGGGCGAACCTAAAGAGCTCAGGAGCTGACTTGCGGGTGAGCACAGCGTACTGAACACTATCTTCACACTTATGTATCTTTATTAGGGCGGCGTGAGGAATTTACTACGCGTAACGCCCTCAATGTTGAAAGAGCATAATAAGAAGGACGATGCTTGGTCTTCATTTGGCGGCAAGGTCTATAATATAACGCCTTACTTACCATATCATCCTGGAGGCGAGAAGGAACTAATGCGAGTGGCTGGACGTGACGGAACTAAGTTATTTGGTGAGCGTTCTCTCACACAATTGGTTCGTCCATCTGACCCCTCACTACCCTTATCAGCCTTAACCCACGCTTGGGTCTCAGTGGACATGATGATGGACGCTTGTCTGGTAGGACTTATGGTCCCCGAATAGACGGTTCTCCTGAGTAGATGACATCGACTCACAGCAGCATTCATCAACGAGTTTATTTGGACGGTTTATTATTCGAAGGAAATAGAAGTGAATCATCCATTTGACTTTATCACGTCTTCAAGAATCCATCGAGCATAAATTGAGTACTCATGATCATCAATTCTCTGTCGCTCGAAGACTGTTTCTGAGGCGTTTAGGAGTGTATTACTCGGCGTTCGATCTTCGACGTATTTTCCTGCTTTTATAATTAGTTCTACTTATATGTTAAAACCCGTACTAAAGTAATGGCCGTGTGGCTCAATGGCAGAGTGTTTGACTACGATTCTTAGTGATCAAAAGGTTGCAGGTTCGAGTCCTGCCTCGGTCAACTCTTTTTGCTGAATCAATTTTTGCCAGGCGCCTGGACGTGGTTTATCATCACGCATAGAATCTCATCCGCACTTGCTCTATCGATGGATTATATACACTTGTCCTACCAACACGGCACTGGAAACCCCCATTGCCACAGCTACAGGCACAAAATTCAGTTTCGCAAACTGGGACATCGTCACGATAATCCCCTTTTGCAAGAGCAACCGCTTCCATAGCAAACCAGCCAGAGAGGCAGGGAACGAGAACGTAAAGGCACCATAGTTTGACCCGAGCGCCAGAGCATAAATAGCCCCATCTTGAATTCGTGCATTGGGTTTGCTGGAGTGAGTCCATACTTGCAGGATGCGAGTCAGGAGGATAGTGGCTCCGATATTGGTCCCGAATATCTGCATGTCGTAAGTATACAGAAAATATTGAACAAACGAGAGATCGCACATTACACAAAATACAAGAGATCAAGCCCATACCAAAAATAGCTCCAACTGCACCGGTATGCGCGATCCAGTGGTCCCACCAGCTCGCCCATACATCCACCCAGCCGGTGACAGTGAGCCCTTGCACCAAAATGAACATGGAAAAGGAGAATACGACAAGAGAGAACGGCATGAGCCGGAGTATAGTGAGAACGTTTGGAAATATAGTGTGTAGAGTGTTCAACGTTGATGGAGCCCTTCGGATGGGCTCCTTCGGTGGCTCTTCTTGATGAATATCCGCATCAGCAGGGGGGGTAGCTATCGCTATGTCTCGGTTAGTCCCTCGTTTTTCCTTCGATCCGTCTTCAGAAGAGTTTGGAGGTACCGCTTCGCCAGCCGTCCTGTCGGTGGCATCAGGTCGTTCGCACGACTCACGACCGTGGCCACTGCCGCGCTCGACACCTCGGGCTCTGTAGTCTCTTATATCGTGAATAACATCCCTGATAAAGACGATGACGGCTGGAGGGACGGTCACGAGGTAGACCTGAGGGTGCAGAAAGCTTGTAGCAACTAGCGTGCAAAGAGTAATAACCAGGACTGTTGCACCAAATATACCACCGAAGGGGTCTAGAAGGACAGATCTCGGGGAAAGCGTTATAGGAGTAAGTTGGCGTGGAATGTACTTTGGATCCCTGAAGAGGAGGAGCAGAAGCGGTAGTATGACAAGCGCCGCCGCAATTACTGGGACGATAATTTTTGCTGTGTATGTAAAGAAGGATATCGAGAATGCACCACTGAGAACAAGGTTTGTGGGGTTCGACGATACGAGAACAGCAGAGGCTGGATAACATACGTAAATATATCATTCAATTCACGACAAAGACACGAACCAATATTAGCCACGATAAATTGTGCGAAGATCCATGCAGTAGGAGGGTTAATGCCTGCCTCCTGAGTAAAGTACGCTAGAAAGGGAACGCCTGATAGAATGACAGGGTCATTTCCGACAATTACTCCCAGAATAAAGAAAAAGGTGCAGATGGAGGAGTAAAGGCGTATTCCTGAGGAGCCGCTCCGGCATGCCACCCAAAATGCGAGAAAGCGCAGCAATCCGGCATTGTCGACAGATATCACCATATAGGCCTATGTTAATATCTGTCTATTAGACATCATATGCCTAAATTCTAACGACGTTGTACATACCAGTGAAATAAACAAGGCCATCACGTTCAATGGCTCGACACCATCGGATCCAACAATCCCTTTGCGAATTTCCTCCCCATGAATGCACTCCGATGCAAGTAGAAGCAGCACCGAAATCACAGGAACAGTGCGAAAGTCCAACGGAATGCGATATGGCTCTATGCCAAGCTTGACGTCGAGTTCCTTCGAGACCTTCTTTGCTTTCTTCCGCTTCCTCAAAGCTGAAAAACAGCTCCTGGAGACTGGAATGTAGGCAGGGAAAATCACTAAAATTTCTGTTCGAGAGTGAGGACATCATTAATCCAGACCCACAAGGAAAACGAATTACCGGTAATAAGGAATATAATCAGCGTAAATATTGCCTTGAAATTACCAACAGACATGGACAATTGGCTCCTCCAGAGCGATACCTGAAGGAGTGAGGGATTGAGATGCGAACGTGGGTTCGGCCAACCTTGAGATCTACCATGTCAATGTTCTGTAATGAGACTCGTATATTCATTTCTTAGATGGAAGCTAGTCCAACTATCCAAGAGAGACGAGATTTAAAAAGCAGAGAGCTCGAGTTCGAACACTACTGGATTACAACGAGTAGTATCTACTTAGGTGGAGATACCTGGGACTGCTGACATATAGCGTACGACATACCAGATCGAATGTGTAATGAAGCGACCGGCTACAGGGAACCAGGACACTCAGGGTTGTTGCATCAATGTACTTGACTATCCATGCCACCTCTGATCCTCATACGAAGATGTTTGCACGTCGTTTCGGCGATTTGGTAGCAAGGACCAAGTAATCTTTGGTGGTGGTTCAGTGGCAACATTCCAACTTGAATTCAGCCTCGACTTCAATTAATGTCCGGACCGCCTCCTTCTACCTCAAAGCCTCAAACTAATGATGAAATTGATAAACTACTAAACAGAGAAGCGACTGCTATATCAAGAGATGTAGAGGTTCGTGGGATGTAGATTCGAGGGAATTCAGCTGAGAGATTCCCCGCTCTTTTTTGATTCTATGACAGGTAGATCGCATTTTGCGAACGTTTAAGCTGAATCCATACGAAACACTCGATATAGACGTGAGTTGCTACCTACTCTGTAACGTTGAGCGCTGACAGAGGTCGTATTGCTACAGCCTTCCGCTTCCTCAGAAGATATCAAAAAACGATATAAACAATTGTCGCTGCGTAAGTAGGACCGTGCTAGCGCAGAAATAATGTATTAACCTCCCTCTAGTTATTCATCCGGACAAAGCGACGCATCCCCAAGCACAAGATGCATTTGATTTATTGAAGAAGGTAAATCTAGCTGATTCTCAATAAGGTAATTATACCTCATGGCGATCTTTAGGCCGAAAACGACCTCTCTGACAAGGATAAACGAGAGAATCTCGATGCTACAATTAAGCAGGCACGAGCAGAACTCTTAAAGTCTTTGAATTTGCCATTGTCTACGAAGGACGATCATTTCAAGATTACATCCCTTTCACCACCATGGAGTCAGCAGCTGAAAGAGAAAACGAAAGCACTCCTGATTGAGGAGGAGCTTAGGAAGCGCAGGTGCGCCCATTCGTTACATTTTTGATCCGTCTGTCGAGTCGACGCAATAACGATGTTGATAGAGCCGCTAAACTTGCTATGGCCAATGAGGGGCGAGAAGCGCAGCAAAAGGACGAAGAAGTAGCATCGCGCAAACGGAAAGCGGAGGACGAGAAGGTTTGGGAAGGTAAGAGAGAGTACAAAATGGATGATCTTTTCCTCACCAGACTCACGTCGATATTCAGAGGGTCGAGAACAAAGGGTCGGCAGCTGGAGAAACTTCGCCTCTACCTCTACCAATAGCAACAAAAAGAGAAAGAAGAATAAGGT